CATTATTCTTGTCTATAGTTGTGGATTATTCATTCTCATTGATGGATGGCATTGCATTATTTGGGTATTTCACAATATATGTATCCGTTTTGGAGATTTACATATTTTTCCAGTGTTTGACTTACGAATAATGGTGTTATGAATGATCTTTTTTTTTATTTTATTTATTTATTTTTTATTATACTTTAAGTTCTAGGGTACATGTGGATAACGTGCAGATTTGTCACATATGTATACCTGTGCCATGTTGGCATGCTGCACCCATCAACTCGTCAGCACCCATCAACTCATCATTTACATCAGGTATAACTCCCAATGCAATCCCTCCCCCCTCCCCCCTCCCCGTGATAGGCCCCGGTGTGTGATGTTCCCCTTCCCGAGTCCAAGTGATCTCATTGTTCAGTTCCCACCTATGAGTGAGAACATGCGGTGTTTGGTTTTCTGTTCTTGTGATAGTTTGCTGAGAATGATGGTTTCCAGCTGCATCCATGTCCCTACAAAGGACACAAACTCATCCTTTTTTATGGCTGCATAGTGTTCCATGGTGTTTATGTGCCACAATGAATGATCTTATACATATGTTTGGATAGACATTTATTTTCATTTCTCTTGGGCATGTGCCAAGGACTGGCATTTCTGAGTCACAGGGTATGTATATGTTCAGCTCAGTGGACACTGTCAGTTTTTCAAAGTGGTTTTTCCAATCTGTATCCCCATCAACAGTGTAAGAGTTCCACTGCTCTACATCCTTGCCACACTTAGTGTTTTCCATCTTTTTTGTTTTTTTTTTTCTTTTGCTGGGTGTGTAGCAGTATCTCATTGTGGTTTTAATATCAGTTTCTCCTTAATTTAGTTCTCTCAAGTTTTAAGTCTCTTTTAATCAAAGAAGGTCTGTACTCTTTTTAAAAACCTTATTTATTTGCTTAAGAAATTGGATTGTTGTCCTGTGGAGTTTGCATTCTGGATATTGCTGATTGTGTCCTTATTTTGTTGTTTATTAAGTTCATCTGGCCAGTCTTATGTCCTTTAAATTGGTAATGAGATTTAGAGGCTTGTTGAGATTCAAGTTTTTTGGCTTGAATATCTCAGGTGTGGTGGTGTTTATTCTTACAGTGTTACACTAGGAGGCTCATTGGATCTGGTTGTCTCTCCTGTGATGTTGAAATTAATCACTGGGTTCAGGTGTCATCAGCATGATCTGTTCTTTATAAAATTTCCCTATTCACCTTTACTTCATGTTTTTTGCAGTCTCTGAATATTCTTACCTGTATCTGCATTTCATTAAATGTTACAAAAAGGGTGACATTGTAATTCTGATTTCTTCTGCCTTCACCAGCTGGAATTCATGTATAAAGAAAACTTCCTCTGACCTATTAGATTATATTGAGATGTGGTATACACAGGGAAGGTAGGATGGATGTTTAGTTCTTTTGCAGTATTTCCACTTTTCAAAACAGTGACTTGTTTCCTTAGGAGTTTCCAAAGGTGAGCAGTGAGCTTGTTCTGTTTGTGTTTTTTTTTTTTTTGGATTCAGTCTGAGTACTTTTGGTTGCTCATTGCTACTGGGTTAGTCATTTTTTTGTCCTCTCCAGTGTGTTTAACCAGGAAATGTGTATCCTTTGTAAGAGATACATGTCATCTGCTTTTATCCCGGGCTGCTCCTCTGTCCTATTGTAGGTAATCATTTTATTAGTTTTTGTTATTACCCTCATTCTAAAAAAAAAAAAAGCAAATATGTATATTATTTATTATATTACTTCCCCAGTAAAAATTTATCCAGAAATGAAAATGTTCTATATCTAAACTGTGCAACACAGTAGCCACTAGCTAGCTATGGTTATTGAGCATGTGAAACGTGATGAGTAAGACTAAGAAACTGAGTTTGTAATTTAAATTAAGTTGACATATGTCAGTAGTGGCTACTGTATTGGATACTGCTGCTCTATACTTTTTTTCTTCTTCTTCTTCTTGCTTTTTATTTCACAATGTGTCGTAGAGATTACTCATAGCAGTACAGAGAGGGAGTCCTCCTTGCTTTTTATACTTGCATAGTACTCTAGGGTGTAGTTGTACCTTAGATTATTTAGTTGGCCCTATACTGGGCATCTGTCATATTACTAGTATTCTGTTAGGAATTTTCTACCATAAATAGCCTCGTGTATATGCCTTTTATCTTTTTGCAGTGTTTCTTTGGGATGGATTTTTAGAAGAGGGATTGCTGTTTCCAAGAGTAAATACCAATGTATTTTTATAGATAGCATCAAACCCCACCACAGGGACTGTACCATTTAACATTACTTCTAGCAATGCATGAAAATGCCTATTTCCCCACAGAGGAAGAGGAATGCTGAGGGGTGGTGAACATCATGTGAGAAGTTCATGAAAGCCATCTCACTAAATCAGAAGAATTAGATATTTGGATAGGAGTCCTACTCCTGTGCTTGTCTTTGACAATTCAGTCTTTACTCTTTTCAGTCTTTTGTGGATCTGGGTCCACATCCCTCAGATGGGAGAGGCAGTCTTGCATAAAGCAGAAACTTCATGTCAGCTAGAAGACCAAATTGGAGGGACTTCTGTCCTAGGGAAAAGACAAGCACAAAACCAGAAATCCACAACTCTGATGTAGTGAAGGGCTAAAAGAGAAAGTAAACATGTAGTCCCTTACTCATGAGGAGAACCAAGGATGAAACCAACACAAGGGTGACCTTATCCTTTACTCTCTATCTGCAAACTGAATAGAAAGCTGCAAGAGTTTGTGTGTGTATAATTGTTGTGAAGAAGACTGAGATACAAGCAACATGCAGACACCCACACTGAAACATATAAACACACCATCAAATAGTTTTGAGCTACTTGTCTTATGTATAAAACAGTATACTGTGAATATGTTTCCAAAGCAATGAATATATGAGCATCATATTTGTAATTTCACAACTTTTTGTTTTCCACATTTTGTACAATAAAGTTTCTAAATTTAGAACACCAGAGAATTGCACATTTATAAAATAAAAGAATCCTCTATCTCTCTACAATGTGCACACACTGATTTACAAAATATAATTTTTAATGTACTATTTTCACACAGCATATGAACATGATTCTTAATGCATTTCTACACTATAATTTTGTGACTAGGTCACAGATTTTTCTGATTTACAGAACAGAATCTTAATAACTTTGTCACATTATCAGTTAATTATTTTCATTGTTTAAGATTTATCAAATATAAGCAAAATGTATATTACATATTAAAAATATTGTCCATCTGTCACATCTTCTCCTTCTCCATATACAAAGATAGTTTCTCTTAATTTATTAGTATCTACTCTTCAGATGTTTTTCTCTGCATGTAGTATACTAACTTACTTTTATTGACACACATACCTCTAAATCCATGTTAATCTGTCTATATAAATTATTTTACATAAATCCATGCACTACATTATAATTTATGACTTAACTGGTTGACTAAATATGATTCTGTTTCATATATTTTATTTGTTTTGGTGTGTTCCCAAGTGTTGGAATTTATATCATTTTTCTAAGATTTATATATTGTCTCGATATGATTGGCTTACTTCTCTTGTTCATGAATATTTCATATTTGTAGGATATAAAACATGATTGAATATGGGTTAGAAATAATTTCTCCCAAATTTTTTATTTCTTTTTGTTTTCTATTTTAGCTATGCAAATACAATTCTATACTTTATAATTTTTTACTATTTAAAAAGCACTTTAGCACATTGTTTTCGAAAGAACGACTCAACTAAATAATAATGCTTTAAGGCCAGGTGCAGTGGCTCACACCTGTAATCCCAGCACTTTGGGAGGCCGACATGGGTGGATCACTTGAGGTCAGGAGTTTGAGACCAGCCTGGCCAACATCAGGAAACCCCATCTCTACTAAAAATACAAAAAATTATCTGGACTTGGTGGTGCACGCCTGTAGTCCCAGCTACTCAGGAGGCTGAGGCAGGAGAATCGTTTGAACCCAGGAGGAGGAGGCTACAATAAGCCACTGCACTCCAGCCTGGGTGACAGAGCGAGACTCCATCTCTAAAAAAAAAAAAAAAAAAAAAAAATGCTTTAAGTTATATCAGATGTCAGCTGACGGGACAGAAGGGAAAAAACGTTTTGAATAATTCTAGGTTTAGAATCCTGGAACAATAGTTTATAAGGTAGTTTCCCTAGATCAAGTTATCAGTCTTTTCATTTGTGCTCCCTGATCCAATTAATGGGCATAATTATTTGTACTGGATAGAATTGTTGAAATCAAAATGAGATGAAATATAAAGTACCCTTTATATAGTAGTTGTGTACCTGTTAATAGACTACCATCCAGGTTCCCTTTCCAAAGGGCTATAGCTTGGTCTAGTTCAACCTCTCAGGGATCAGCCAGTCCATGTACATACAGAAGATACTTTATCTTACATTTAGTGGTGTAACTTGCTTATTTAACTGTAGTGGGTAGAATTTTGTCCCCCTCAAAACATGTCCCAATCCTAATCCACCCAAACTTTATTTGGAAATAGGGTCTGTGTAGCCATAATGAAGTGAAAGATCTCCCAGAAGGGAATATCCTGAATGTAGGTTGATGCCTAACTCCAATGACTGGTGTCTATATAAAAGAAAGCAGAGGGAGATTTGACACATGCAGGGAAGAAGGCCATGTGAAGACTGAGGCAGAGATTGAGTTATGCCACCTCAAACCAAATAAAGCAGGAGCCACAAGAAGCTGGAGGAGCTAAGAAAGGATTCTCCCCTAAAGGCTTTGGAGGCAATGCAGTCCTGCCTACACCTTGATTTTGTACTTCAGACTTTGGTTTTGTACATCTGAATCATGGGATAATAAATTTCTGTTGTTTAAATATGCAAAGTTTGTGATAATTTGTTATGGTGACCCTAGGAAACTATTACATGTACAAACATCATACCCCAAATGTCGTTGATTATGAATAAACATTGGTTGATACCCTAATTTTTTTTCATTGCTACAGGGATACGAATACCAGTAAGGTATGTGAAAAGTATTTAAAAGTGCCAACATATCATAGGTACTATATGCTTTTAATGTGTTGGATCATTCAGTACCTAGAACACACTTATGAGTTAAATACTATTGCAAAATTCAGTTTTACAGATGGAAAACTAAGGGACAGAGAGTTTAAGGACTTTGCCTAAGACTGAACAGTTAGGGAGCGGGACAGCTTGGACTTATGTCCAGTGCATCATGCTCTAGAGCCTGGGAAACTATGAAAGCTCTGTTGTTAGGTGAAAGAAGCAGTCTGCAATCATACATACTGTAGGAGCTCATTAAAAGTAATATGCCCTATGTTAGTGTATTTATACGAAACCTGGACCTAGTAAGAAATGGGTGGATTATGACTTTGGAGAGAATGTTCATTGCAATCCCAGAGACAGAAGCCATAGGGCAGTAGGATGATGAGTGGGAAGTGAAAAATGTTAACAGAGCTTGTAGAAAACTCTTTTTGGTACTTTGAATATGAAGGAGAAGAAGGATAAGGGAGGGAGAGACAGAGACAGGGAGATCTGTATCCTGTAGCTGAATGGGTGACGAGGGGGGTCCAAGGAGAGATTTTTTTTAAATATTCAATTTCTTGAAACTTGACCAAGTTAAAAGCTAATGTGAAAAAAAGCTGTCTCAGAATGAACCCTTGAAGTTGCCCACGTGTTTATTTCCCTTATGCTTTTATATCACATTAGAGCTCATGAGACACCTCCAATGGAATAGAATGGGTTTTGAGCTCAATACATATTTAGTTATTACCTAATGAAAGAATAGACATTGTGTGTGAAGAAATGCTAGTAACTCTTGGATTTTTGTCTCTCAGGGAGGCAGCAGATGGCTGAAATTCTGACGCAATGTGGCTGGTTAATGCACGATCTGAAAACCCCTGCACTGGTGATTTTGGGACAGATCTAGAATATACCAATAAATATATTAACATACCAAGTAGTCCAGGAGCAGCCACTGGGCAAACACCATACCTTGCATCCCTGGTGCTGTCTCTGAGCTCAACAGGTAAGTTCAAAGACATTCCTGTCTTCCCAGTGTGGGGAACTAAATTTGGGTCATCTCAGAAGCATGATGTTAGACAGCTCTTATGAGTTTCTGATAACACTCACGAAGTAGAGAAACTACTGTCTACAAAACTTTGAACTCAAGGCATATCACAGGAACATTTGCTTTCTTCAACTAGATGTCTGTATTCTCATAAGGGGGAGCAATGAGAAATGATTTTTCACAATGCCTGCCTTAGCACTGAGGCTCCGCCAGCCCCTAATGCTATGTCCCATTTAAAGGCCATTTAAGTCCCACTCCATGCCATATACTCTGAAGAGGTTTCCTCATGTACCCATCAGGCAGCTATGTAAGGATGGTATGGTCAGTCCCATTTAAAAGATGACTAAGCTCAGGCTCTTACCTAAGTCACCTCTTCAGGTAAGTGGCAGGATTTGAATGAAATTCCATCCCTCACCCTCCCTAGAGGACCCTGAGGAGCCTCCCTTTTAGAAGATGGGTTTCTGGGCTTGAGAAATGGTGAGATTCCACCCGCCTGCTATTGTGACCCCATGAGTCTTTACTCAACAACTTTTCTGGATGAAGATGACAGAGGTGAGATCCCATTCTTTGTGCCAACAGACCTGTGTGTAGGGACACATGAGTTGGCTGATTGATGCCTGAAGTGGTGAGTGGGCTCAGGCAGAAGCTCAAGAGTTGGCCTTGAGACAGGTGAGCACATATATATGAGAGAGAGAGTTTATTAAGTATTAACTTACACAGTCACAAGGTCCCACAATAGGCCATCTGCAAGCTGAGGAACAAGGAGAGTCAGTTCGAGTCCCAAAACTGAAGAACTTTGAGTCCAATGTTCGAGGGCAGGAAGCATCCAGCATGGGAGAAAGATGTAGGCTGGGAGGCTAGACCAGCCTCTCTTTTTCACATTTTTCTGCCTGCTTTATATTCACTGGAAGCTGATTAGATTGTGCCCACCAGATTAAGAGTGGATCTGCCTTTCCCAGCCCACTGACTCAAATGTTAATGTCTTTTGGAAGCACCCACACAGACACACCTGGGATTAATACTTTGTATCCTTCAATCCAATCAAGTTGACACTCAGTGTTAACCATCACAACTCCTTTAGGCAAATGCACTCTATATTTCATCTCCTTTAATCTCAACAGCTATTCAAGTTACCTACAAGAATACCCACTGAATTATGTCCATTATTCAGATCAGGGTACTTTAGACAAGTTTCTGTACATCAGGGAAATATCTTTGTTGTGTCTCGATTAGCAGGTAATTCTGAATTATTCTAAAGTTTTCTCCAGTTTGTCTCTGTGCCTCCTGGGCTCGGAATGATCTAATTCTCCTTGGGCACTACCATTACATGTTCCAAGGCAGTTTAACATTTTTTAAAAAAATGTGATCCATATGGTTTTAAGTCAGAAGATAATTTAAATTGAAAAATTCTAAATTTAAAAAACCTAAGAATAGCGTAAAAACTCTGGAAAAATCTGTGCAAACTAGAGCTGAGATACTGGGTAAGAATTCATGCTTTGCGAAGTACACTAACAAAGAACTTAGGCAAATAATTTCAGTGGAGAAGTCAAATAATTAGATATATTAACAATAAACACATGAACTATGCCAAAACCACAGAAACTAATAAGATGTAAATATAAATCCTGAGAAGAATAGTGGAAAAAATAGGTTGCAAAAGAAGATAAGGATGTGATTCAACCTTTGGAACAGTCTGTGTATGTGTGTGTGTGTGTGTGTGTGTGTGTGTGTAGGTGAACATATTTGTGTGCATCTCACCTGTGGAGACACATTTCACAATATGCACCATTCTATGGACAGCAGACACCTAGGGGTCAGGGGTTAGGAGCTGCTCCAGTGAGAGATACAGGTTAATTTCAATTCATATATGTGTTTTTATATATTGTTTTACATTTTATATTCAGGAAAAAGTATTTTGATAAAATATTAAAAACAATATGCTGTGAACATATTGACAAGAGTATGGTACACATATATTCCTTACTTTAGGCATTCATTTATTCAATTTCCTAGGGAAATAATGTAGATTTTTTTAAAATGAATTGACTCACACATGAGTGTGTGTGTATGTGTGTATGTTGTAGCTCCTCTAGCTCTACCACCTCAAATACAGTTCACAGTTGCAGCATTATCCCCAGTTCAGACTGACACTGTACTTCCAATCTCAAATTTAGATATCCCAGAAAACGTACTTTTTTATAACCCAGAAAAATGATGGATACAGAGGGATTTCTGTAGGTACGTCAAAAATTCCAGAAAACTGGCTGATCCCATTAATCAACCTCCCAACCTCCATCCCTCCCTTTCCCCTGCTGAACTCACCAGTCAACTCTCAGAGTTGCAATCCTGGCTCTGGCCACTAGGAGACATCACAGCCATCTTCACTTTTGTTCTTTTTTAAGGAAAAGGAGTACATCTAACAAAGAGTAACAGATGTTATAACATCGTTTGTTCACTGAAATACCAGTTCTGTTTGGAGTATTTGTGTGTATATTAAAACAGTTCCATTTGCTGTCGACCCCAAATCTACATCACATTCACTGATTCATCTCTTCCCTTCTCAGTGTAGGTTGAGGTTTCCACACTGTAGGAGGGTCCCTTCCAGACAGCAGGGCATTCGTTCACTCTCCATCCACCCCTGTACAGGCTTCCTGGACCTTCTACCACCGCTTCCCACTCATCCCCTCTCCAGGACACTATAAGCACAGCCTCCCAGACCTGCCCTTTTTGCCCTCATCCTCTCTCAGTCACCTCTCACCTGCCCTGATGCGATCCATTAAGATTCTGTCTTCCAGCAACAGCCAAGGAGTGTTAGACCTACCTGGTGTTTCATCCTATGGATGCCCCACCATATATGTATTTGCAGTCTTCTTTTACACTTACCAGTTGTTCTTTTTTTTTGACAGAATTAGAATGAATCATTCTGCACTTAGGCTCATAAGCTGTGGTTTAAGGGAAGTATTGTATTTTTTGCTCCTTGCAGACACGTCTTTGCAGAAGAGTTCTATAATGGTGGTACAATGGCGCCCCCCTCATGACAGAAGCTTGAACTACAGCTTGAACATCGGTGAGCAGGAAGGTGGGAGGGAGGGGCTGTGGCCCATGCATACCCTATAGAGCGTTCTGAAACTCTGGGTTGAAAAAGGAGGCATTCCAGGTTAAAGGGATACAGAAGTCCACTGGATGTTCCAGCCTCTTCATATGCTGAATAGAAAACTGTATGTGGGAATAACAGAAAAATCATTTTAATTTCTATAGAGATGAAATATACTGTCTACATTGTTCAATACAATAGCTAATGGCAACTGTGGTGGTTGAACACCTGAAACGTGTTGAATGGAACTGAACTTTTAGTTTCATGTATGTTTAATCAACTTAAATGTAAATGGCCATATGTGGACAATGTCTACTATATTGGACAGCAGTGACTCAACACATTTTTCTGCACCTTTCTTCAGTTAACAATATATGCTGAAAATCATTACAAAGGAGTAGAAGGGGGAGTTCTCATTGCTTGTTTTACCTCCATAGAACTCTGGGATGTAGATGTACCTTAGATTATTCAATCAATTCCTTATTGATGGACATCTGTCTCATTTCTAGTCTTGTCCTGTTACAAATTGTTCTACCATGAATTGCCTTGTGTTCATGCCTTTTGTCTTTTTTAATTGTATCTTTGGGGGTACATTCTTAGAGATTGCTGGCCCTGGAAGAATACATCTGTGCTGCATAAAATAAAAGATTTGAAACGAGAGGATCTGGAAACATGGTGACAATCAGTGAATGTTGGTTGTATCTCGTTATTCTTTTGATTCCATGTACTTTCTGATCTCCTATTTTCATCCTAGTGTGACATGGTGAATGAATTTATTGAGCCCCAGAAAGAAGGAATATTAAAGAAGAGCAAAGAATAATAGCTGGACAGAAGATGGGGGTCATTGAACCTGTATCCTAGTTGCCAGACCTGTAAAGTGACCACGGGACCTGGAGTGAGTCCTGTTCTTTTGTCGGCCTCTAGTCTACCACAGAAAGACATTTATTATAGGAACAGTGGTTAGCTGTGTGGGCTTTGGGGTGAGAAGGACTTGGATTTGAGTCTGGGAACTATCACTCGATGGTTGCATAATCTAGAGCAAATAATTTATCTATCATGTATCCTACAATTGCTGGCATTTTTATTATTGTTTATTTTGTTTTATTATTGCACCATTCATCCAAAGGGTGAATGATAGGAATCAGGATTACACTGTCAGGTATTGCAATGTTCCATGAAACTTTGCTTTTGTAACTGATGGAGTCTTTGACATACAGATTAAAGGATGTCTGTAGAAAGCTCATGAACAGACCCATATATATATATTACATTTAATATGCAATGTAGATATGGCATTTCCAATCAGATGCATTGTTTGAAAATTGGGGTTGGGTCAGCTGGTTCATTAAAAGGCAAAGTTAGATTATATATCTTGTAATTTAATCAGAATGATTTATCCACATATTAGTACTTTGTATAAAAGTTCAAATAGAAGTAGAAATGAAAATAAAAACCCAGAATACCAAGCTCCATATATAGTATAACCATTATATAAAATGTAATGTATGTGTGTCCGTTACATTTGCTTATATACATGTATAAAAAAACAAAGTAGCATGATGTAAATTTCAATAAGGATAGGAATACTGATGATAAAAGAAAAACTTCAGCCAAATTAAATTTAAAGGACTTTGAGCAATGAACAATTCGTGAATTGGGCAGCCCCCAGAATCACAGCAGATTCATGGAGACTCTAGCACAGCCATATGGTGGAAAAAGATTTATAGACCAATAAAGGGAAATGATGTACAGAAATTGGAAGTGAGGTACAGAATGGCTGGATTGATTATAGCTTGGTGTTTGCCTTGTTTAAACCCAGTTTGAACACTCCGCAGTACACGAATGGTTGAAGTATGGCCGCTGGGATTGGCCAAGAGTTAGCTATTGTTACAGGCACATACTCCGAAGTTATGTTTTCAATTTTGCCTATTAAGCTAGGTTACAGTCCATCCACAAGGACTCAAATATAGAAGTACGGAGTCCTTCTCAGGTCATATTTAGTTTGCTTTAACACTGGGTATTAATAGTTTTTAAATTCTGCGCTTGACTCAATATTAACCTTTTGCAAAGACAAGTGTGGAATACATTTATGATAAAAATGTGGCTCCTAAAATATGTTACTTAAGAAATATTTCCGAAAAAAACATAGCCATAAAATTAACCCAGGTTAATCTTACACCTACTTTAGTTTTTCTCTAACCCCAGGTCCCATAGGCTCCCATCTGGCAGTGGGTTTATGCTTCCTCCTGAAGTCACATTCTTCACCAGAACACTCTTTTCACAGGGTCACAGTCTCTCCACACTTTGATTTATTTTCTCTCTGCACTCAGCCTGGGCAACAAAGCAAGACTCTGAAAAAAGAAAGAGAGGAAGGGAGGGAGGGGGAAAGAGAGAGAGAGAGGGAGGGACGGCGGGCTTTGCTGTCTCTTCTTTGTAGCACAGGTAACCTGATAATGCAGTGGAGGAGAAGGAAAATCATCCCCTCATTACATTTTGTTTGATATCCTTTCTTGCTACCTTCTTTTACCTTCCATTTGGACATTGGAATAGCAGCTTTTCATTAAGCTCTGGAAAGGAGACAGCACCGAATGACAGAGCATGAAGATGAGTCTGCTATAAAACAGACTGAAACCAGGAGACCTGGGTCCTAAGTACCAGATCTTTCCTTGTATACCCAGTGGTTAGGGATGTGGGCTTTGGAGTCAGATAGATCAGGTAGAAAATGTGTGTACATTTAATAACTGCTTTCATGATCTTTAGCAAATGTTGAGTCTTCAAATTAATGAAACCCATATTTAGTATACAAACATTAAATATGCATGCATAGAGAATGAAATGAGCATTAATACAAAAAAAAGTTTAAAAATTAACCAGTGATGGGGTTATTGATTAATTATATATCTGGACTTGATTATATTTCCCTGAATTTCTTAATTGGTATGGATCTTTTTAAAATCAGAATTAAGTCTCAGAGAAATAGTGGTTGTTATGAAATCTTAAAGTAACACAAAAAATTATAGAATACAACAGACTTCTACATACTCATGTCAACATATAAAACCTTCATAGGTGAGTCAAACACACTTTAAAGTCTTCTCTTATTACCTCAGCTGCCTTCTTTCCCACAGGTGACCACAGTGTATAATTTAGGTTTTACATTTTTAAGACATTTTTCTATACTTTTATTACATATGCATATATCTATAAGTGAAATATGATATTGTTTTCTGACGTGGTTTCATCCCTAAATACCTGGCTACCTCATGAAATAGGAGAAAGGAAGAAACATGAGGAGAACAAACACACATTCACATCTTAATAGAGGGACCTACCATATATGCCTATTTGTCATTTATACTGTCTCTCAGACTCACTGAAGCAGACACACCCATTTTCTCAGTTTATATGCTGTGGGGAGCTCCAACAAAATCTGCAGATACCATTTTTCAAACCTCTTTATTCCCTGATGAATTCAAAATCTTAGCGCTTCCCTGAAGCTAACTAGCCTAAAATAATGTCTCAGTGTTTCCTGACATGAAATACCTTCCATTTGCCCAGACCTAATTTTCTATCTTTAATCCAAACTGTAATTCATGTAGGCTTACCCTGTCTATCTGGAATCTAAACTGGGTCATGCTGGTGAAAGAAGACAGTGATTCCCTGAGTTGATTTTCATATGTCCAGGCTACTACCCAAATCCATTGATTAGTTCAGGGATGCATATCATTTAGAGCTTGATCTGATTTTGTATCACAATTGCTCAGTATGAGTATATTGTACTTTCCATTTGTTATTTTTGATTGCACAAGGAAGGTATTTCAAAAGAGTTTTTTTTTTTTTTTTTTTTTTTTTTTTTTTTTTTTTTTTTTTTTTTTTTTTTTTTTTTGAGACGGAGTCTCGCTCTGTCGCCCAGGTTGGAGTGCAGTGGCACCATCTTGGCTCACTGCAAGCTCCGCCTCCTGGGTTCATGCCATTCTCCTGCCTCAGCCTCCCGAGTAGCTGGGACTACAGGCGCCTGCCACCACGCCCGGCTAATTATTTGTATTTTTAGTAGAGACAGGATTTCACCATGTTAGCCAGGATGGTCTTGATCTCCTGACCTCATGATCCGCCCATCTCAGCCTCCTAAAGTGCTGGGATTACAAGCGTGAGCCACCACACCCGGCCTCAAAAGAGTTTTAATTCATATGTGTTAATTGATGATCCTGGGGACAGAATCCATAGTGTAATGGGATAAAGAGTCAGTCAAAAGTGGAGAGTATTAACAAGGAATGTATAAAACTCTTTGTGGAACTTTGAATTTGAAGAAGAGAGAATCCAGTGGGGGAGGACACATACACGTACACACACACACACACACACACACACACACACACACACAGAGAGAGAGACAGACAGACAGAGAGCGAGCGCCAGAGAGAGAGAGGGGGAGAGGGAGAGGAGTGGTATCTCTATCATGTGGTTGAATAGGTGATGAGAGGTCCAAGGAGGGATTTTTGAAAATCATCAATTTTTTGAAACCCGATCAAGTTTAAAAATTAATGAGAAGAACCATCTCATCTCAGATTTAAACAATGAAGTCACCCATATATTAATTTCCTTTCTTACCCAGTTAATTCGACTTTAGGGTTCATGAGGTACCTCCAATGGAATAGCATGAGTTCTGGGCTCTGTTAATATTTAGTTGTTAGCTAATTAAAAACTGGACAATTGTGTGTTATATTAGTCTGTTCTCATGCTGCTAATAAAGACATAATGGAGACTAGGTAATTTATAAAGGAAAGAGGTTTAATTGACTCACAGTTCCACATGGCTGGGGAAGCCCCACAATCATAGCAGAAGGCAAAAACACATCTTACATGGTGGCAGGCAAGGGAGCTTCTGCAGGGAAACTCCCATTTATAAAACCATCAGATCTCGTGAGACTTATTCACTACTATGAGAACAGTATGGTATAAACTGCCCTTATGATTCAATTATCTCCACCTGGCCCTGCACTTGACATGTGGGGATTATTACAATTCAAGGTGAGATTTGGGTGGGGACACAGCCAAACTATATCATGTGTCAAAGACTTGCTAGTAACTATTGGATTTTTGTCTCTAAGGGAGGCAGCAGATGACTGAAAACCTGAAGTGATGTGGCTGAGTACTGCATGATCTGAAGACTCTGCACTGGTGACTGCGGTATGGGTCCAAATTTTTCCTTAAAAAAAAACCAAAAACTAAAGAGCCCAAAACCATACTGACCAGTCCAGGAACAGCCATTAGGCAAACACAACTTTTTGCTACCCTGGTGTTACCGATTTCTGAGCTCAACAGGTGAATTCAAAGATATGCCTGTTTTTCCAGCATGGGGAGCTGGATTTGGGTCAGCTCGGGGGCATGATGTTGAACAGCTCTTATGAGCTTCTGATAATGCCCAGGAAGTACAGAAACAACTGTCTACAAATCTTTGAACTCAAGGCATATCACAGGGACATTTGCTTTCTTCAACTAGATACCTGTTTTCTCATAAAGAGAAACAATGAGAAATGATTTTTCACAATGCCTCCTTAGCCCTGAGGCTCACCCATCCCCTAGTGCTGTGTCCCAACATTTAAAGGCCATTGAAGTCCCACTCTATGCCATATACTCTGTACAGGTTTTCTCATTTACCCCTCAGGACAGCACTGTAAGGGTGGTATGGTCAATCCCATTTCATAGATGGCCAAACTCAGGCTTTCAGAGCCTAAGTTTCTCCAGATAGGTGGTAGGATTGGAATGAGGTTCCATCCCTCATCATCCATAGACAGCCCTGAGTAGCCTCCCTTTTAGAAGATGGGCTTCCAGGGCTTGAGAAATGGTCAGATTCCACCCCTCTGCTATTGTGGACCAATGCATCCTCACTCCACAACCCCTCTGGGTGATGAAGAAGATAGAGAAGATTAAATCCCGCCATTTATGCCAGGAGACCTGGGTGTAGGGCCACACGAGTTGGTTGCTCCTCGAAGTAGTGAGTGGGCTCAGGCAGAAGCTCAAGTATTGGCCTTGGGACAGGGAAGCTTGAGAGAAGGAAATTAACATACACTAAACTACTGTAAGCAAATGCACTTTATATTTCATCTCCTTTAATCTTAACTGCTATTCAAGGTACCTATCACTTTGACCATTATTCATATTATGGTACTTTGGGAAAGTTTATGTAAATCGGGGAGAAAACTCTTTTCTCTCCAGATCAGCAGCTAACTCTAGAATTACTTAAAGTATTTTTCCATTTTTGTCTTGATATCTCCAGGACTCTCAATGCTCGTATTTTTCTCAAGGCCGACAGTACACACGCCCTAAGGTGTTCTTCACCAGTATTTCTTTTTAAATTACAATCTGTATATATCTTATTCATATTATTGAAGTTGAAAACACGTTCTAAATGAAAATAACACTAAGAATTTCTATAAAATAATGGGGAAACATTTTCAAACTACATCTCAGATGTTAGATTAGCATCCACAATTTATAGGGCAAGCTCAGTAACAAAGCAGTTGGCAACTAATTTTGACATACAATTCCAATAGATATAGACATGAACAATGAACTTGTTGATTATGTTAAAACTGTAAGAACTAATAAGATGCTAATATAAATCCTCAGAAGAATATTAAATGGAAAAGACAGGTTGCAAAAGGAGATGATTAATGTGATCACACTTTTTGGCAAAGATTATATGCATGTGTAGGTGGACATGGTCATGTGCACCGCATCCACAGAAACATGTCTAGAATGTGTGCACCATTCTATGGACAACAGACATTTTGGGTCAGGAGGTAGGAGTTGAGCTAGTGAGAGGTGAAGATTAATTACAATTCATAAATGTGCTTTTGTATATTTGAAATTTGGTATTCAGGAATAAAAGTATTTTGATGAATATTTAGACAATATACTTTTGAACAGATTGACAAAAATAATGTGTATTATGTTCATTAATTTGAAATAGCTATTACTGTATTCTATTTAATGGTGTAAGAAGTAGTTAAGTAGAAGGACACAAAACAAGTCTCAATAAATTTAAAAAATCAAAATCATATCAAGTATGTTCTCAGACAAAAATGGAATAAAAGTAGAAATCAGTAACAAGAGGAACCTGGGAAACTGTACAAATATGTGGAAATTAAACAAACAGCATGCTCCAGAATGACCACTGAGTCAAGAAAAAAAAATTATGGAGGAAATCAAAAAGTTACTTGAAACAAATGAAAATGGAAACACAGCATATCAAAATCTATGAGCTACAGCAAAAGCAGTGCTAAGAGAAAAATTTACAGCAATAGATGCCTTCATCAAAAAAGGCAAAAGATTCCAAATAATCAATCTAACTGTACACCTCAAGGAACTAAATAAGGAAAAACAAACCAAATCCCAAATGAGTAGAAGGAAGGAAACAGTAAAAGTCAGAGCCAAACTAAACAAAATAGAAACTAAAAATATACAAAGTTTTAATGAAACAAAGAGTTGGATTTCTGAAAAGATAAAAAATTGATAAACCGCCAGCTAGACTAACCAAGAAAAAAAAAGAGAGAAGACACAAATAAACATCAGAAATGAAAAAGGAGACACTACAACTGATAACATGGAAATACAAATAATCATTCAGAGACTATTATAAACAATTATATACCACCAAATTGGAAAGCCTAGAGAAAATAAATAAATTCCTGGACGTATGCAACCTACCAAGATTGAATCAGGAAGAAATAGAAAACCTGAACAGACCACAATAAGTAATGAGATTGAATCAGTAATAAAAATCCTCCAACAGAGAAAAGCCCAGGCCTGGGTGGTTCCTCTGATGAATTCTATCAAACCTTCAAAGAAGAACTAACGCAAGTTATATTCAAACACCTGAAAAAACATTGAAGAGGAGGGAATTCTCCCTAACTCATTTTATGAGAGCAGCATTATTATGATATTAAAAACCAGACAAGGACTCAACAAAAAAGAAAACTACAGGCCAATAACCCTGATGAAAATAGATGCAGAAGTTCTTAGCAAAATACTAGCAACCTGAATCCAACAGCACATCAAAAAGATAATATGCCATGAACAAGTGGGTTTTATACCAGGGATGCAAAAATGGTTCAACATATGCAAATCAACAAACATAATACAGTAATTACATCAACAGAATGAAGTACAGAAACCGTATGATCATCTCAACCAATCCATAGAAAGCATTTGGTAAAATTCATCATCCCTTCATGATAAAAACTCTCAAGAAACTAGGCATCGAAAGAACATACCTCAAAATAATAAAAACCATATATGATAAACTCACAGCTATCATAATGAATGGGGAAAAGCTGAAACCGTTTCATCTAAGAACTGGAACAAGACAAGGATCTTGTTTTTTCACCTTCATCACTACTATTCAATATAGTACTGGAAGACCTAGCCAGAGCAATCAGACAAGAGAAATAACAGATATCCAAGTCGGATATCTTTGCATTTGTTCCTCTTTGCAAATGATATAATTTTGTATCTAGAAAAACCTAATGGCTCCATCAAAACCCTCTCAAATTTGATAAATACAATAAAGTTGTAGGATAGAACCTCAATATACAAAAATCGGTAGTGTTTATATGCACCATTGATGAAATAGCTGATGATGAAATGGCTGAGAAAGAAATTAAAAAGGCATGCCTACTTGAAACAGCTACCAAAAATAACCTAGGAATAAATTTAACCAAGTAGGTGAAAGACCTCTACAAGGAAAACTACAAAACACTGATGAAAGAAACTGAAGAAGACACAAGCAAATGGAAAGATATTCTATGCTCATGGACTGGAAGAATTAATATAATTAAAGTGACCATACTGCCAAAAGTAATCTGCAGATTCAATGCAATCCTTATCAAAGTACCAATGACATTTTTCACAGAAATAGAAAAAACAATCCTAAAATTGTTGTGCAACCGCAAAGGAACCCAGATAACCAAACCAATCCAAACCAAAAAGAACAGAGCCGGAGGCATCACACTACTTGACTTCAAAGTATATTACAAGGCTATAGTAATCATGTTTTGATTACTATATGGTATTGGTATGAAAACAGACACAAAGACCAATGGAACAGAATAGAGAACGCAGAAATAAAACCACATGTTTACACACAAAACTGATTTTCAACAAAGGCACCAAGAACATACGTTGAGGAAAGGACATCCTCCTCAATAAATGGTATTGGGAAAATTGGATATGCATATGCAAAAGAATGAAACTGCACCTCTGTCTCTCATCTTACACAGAAATCAACTCAAGATCGATTAAAGACTTAAATGTAAGACCGGAAACTATAAGAGTACTAGACAGAAACCTGGGGTAAACACTTAAGTACATTGATCTAGGCAAAAAAAATTTTTTTTTTTTTTTCTGGACAGGAAGTAGAATTTATTGGTGAGTATTAAGTGGGGGCAGCATATTGGAAGCCCTCATGAGTGCAGGGCCCGCCATTTGTTCAGAGGACCACGATTGGGGACGTAGAGCCATCTGGGATGAGCCACTTTTCAGCCACCATGTCTTCAAATTCATCAGCATTGAACTTGGTGAAGCCCCACTTCTTTGAGATATGGATCTTCTGGCGGCCAGGAAACTTGAACTTGGCCCCGTGCAGGGCCTCAATCACATGCTCCTTGTTCTGCAGCTTGGTGCGGATGGACATGATAACTTGGCCAATGTAAACCCTGGCCAGAGTGCCCTGGGGCTTTCCAAAAGCACCTCGCAGGCCTGTTTGGAGCCTGTCAGCCCCAGCACAGGACAACATCTTGTTGATGCGGATGACGTGGAAGGGATGGAGCCACACCCGGATATGGAAGCCATCCTTGCCACACCTTTTTACCATGTACTTATTGGCACAAATTCGGGCAGCCTCCAGGGCTTCAGAGGACAGCTGCTCATATTCATCTGACACCATGTGGCCACAGAGCGGAAACTCATCCACTTTTGCCTTCTTCCACCCCAGGTCAAAGATGCGAATCTTGGCATCAGGGACACCTCGGCAGAAGCGAGACTTTGGGTATGGCTTGTTCTTACAATACCGGTAATAACGGGCGGGGCGGCGGCCCATGGCGACACCAGGATCCTCAGTGGCGCGCCGAAGGGAAAGAGAGATCTAGGCAAAAATTTTATGGCTAAGACTTAAAAAGACAACAAAACCAAAAATAGACAAATGACCAATATGTGTGTCCACCGCAGAGTCCAGGGCCTTTCCTCTGCAGTACCTTGTCAGTGTCAGTACTTTCTTCATTCCTCTATAGCCTTTCTCACCTCCCTGTACTTGGGGAGTCTAAATGGCACTACTTTATGAGTGTCTGTAGAGCAATACTTATCAAGGCCTACATAGGCTCACACCCTTTGTGCTAGCATTTCCTTTTATATGTTTATCTTCAGGACTTAGTGAAGAATGTTGATAAAGATCTGGTTACAAGTACTGCCATCCTCATATTTCCCTGTTTTCACTTTTGGGCTTGAATTTGGAAAGGGAAACCAAATGAGATGCAAAGACACAAAGAATCCAGAAGGAAGTGAAGGGAAATGTGGTTGTCAGCACACACACATACACACACACACACTCCTACATCAACCAGCTTCTGTTATCACAGTATTACAATTCCGTCAACATAGTTGTTGGACTCCAAGGGGACCCATTCAGCTCACCAGAGCAAATAGCCAAGGGAACTGTGCCCTGGATTACACCCACTACCAGTACACAGACTCTGAAAAAATGCCATCCACATCGTGTAGATAATAGGGAATACTGGAACGCACTGAATAACATGGGGTTGTGAAAATTGATTATGTCACATCCACAGGATGAAATTTCAGAAGAGCGCAAAAATGAGTGATACTGAAACAATGATGAGAGATGATTTTTTTGCCTATCAGATTAGTAAAGATTCACATTATTTCTAATGTGGGCAGAAAGGAACTTTCATACTGGAATATTAAGAGTGTAATACTTTTATTAGAAGTATTTTGATTTCAGATAAATGCACGGGGGTAAGATGGCAGATAGGAGGCAGGACTAGCTTGAAGTTCCTGCTCAGATGGACAGAGCAGCCTGTGGAGACTCAAACTGTAAACCTTTGCTCCAAGAAGTACTGCAGGAACATACCAGGATAGCTGAGAGAATTCACAGACCCTTTGAAGAAACTGGATCACTGCTGCAGGCCCCCTGAGATACCGAAAAACTGAGTCTGCTTGCTTTGTCAGCGGGGAAGCTGGTGGTCTGGGACAAGTTCTCAGCCCTAGTCACTGGTTGCCCTGACACAGACTCATTGCTGTTGCGGGGCACAGTGGGAGTGACACTGGCCTTTAGGACTGCAGGCTGTGTGGGAGCAGGCTGAGGCCCATGACCGCTGACTTTCCCCCCACTTGCTGGCAAACTGTATGATTCAGCAGAAGCAGCCATAATCCCCCTGGGAATATAACTCCATTGGACCGGATATCACACCCCCATCCCCCACAGCAGCCACAGCAAGCCGCACCCAAGGAGAGGCTGAGTTCAGCCACGCCTATCCCTGCCTCTACCTGGTGGTCTTTCTCTACCCACCCTGGTAGCCAAAGACCAAGGTCAGAATCTCTTGGGAGTTCTGTGGCCCTGCCCACCGCCTGAGAAATCTGAATACTTAACCAGCTCTCCCTAGGGAAACTTGGCATCCTCTCTAGAGGACACAGCTGATGCACTCTTGAAAGCACCACCTCCTAGCTGGAGGCCAACCAACACAAAACCAGCACACTAAACCAAAATACAACCAAGGACCCTTACAGAGTCCACTTCACTCCCCTGCTACCTCCACTGGCTGCAGAACCTGAAGATGGATCACATCACAGGACTCTTTCCAGACACTCTCCAGGACCAGCCCAGAGCCCAGTAGCTCCACTGGGTGGCTAGACCCAGAAGAGCAAAAACAATCATGACAGTTTGGCTCTCAGGAAGCCCCATTTATAGGGGAAGGGGGAGAACACCACATCAAGGGAGCACCCCATGGGACAAAAGAATCTGAACAGCAGCTCTTGAATTCCAGATCTTCCCTCTGACATAGTCTGCCCAAATGAGAAAGAACGAGAAAAAAATTTCTGATAATACGACAAAACAAGTTTCTTTAATATCCCCAAAAGATTGCACCAGCTCACCAGCGATGGATCCAAACCAAGATGAAATCCTGGAATAGCCAGCAAAAGAATTCAGAAGGTTGATTATTAAGCTAATAAAAGAGACAACAGAGAAAGATGAAGTCCAACTTAAATAAATCAATAACATGATATAGGATATAAAACGAAAATTCTTCAGTGAAACAGCATAAATAAAAAAACAATTACAATTTCGGGAAATCAGGGGCACACATAGAGAAATGCAAAATGCACTGGAAAGTCTCAGCAATAGAATCAAACAAGCAGAAGGAAGAACTTCAGAGCTCAAAGACAAGGCTTTCCAATTAACCCAATCCATCAAAGACAAAGAAAAAAGAATTTAAGAAAAATGAATAAAGCATCCAAGAAGTTTGGGACTATGTTAAATGTCCAAACCTAAGAACAATTAGTGTTCCTGAGGAAGAAGAGAAATCTAAAAGTTCGGAAAACATATTTGAGGGAATAATCAAAGAAAACTTCCCCAGCCTTGCTAGAGATCTGGACAAATACAAGAAGTTCAAAGAATACCTGGGAAATTCATTGCAAAAAAAGATAATTGCCTAGGAACATAGTCATGAAGTTATCTAAAGTCAAGACAAAGGAAAGAATCTTAAGAGCTATGAGACAAAAGCATCAGGTAATCTATAAAGGAAAACCTATCAGATTAACAGCAGATTTCTCAGCAGAAACCCTACAAGCTAGAATGAATTCGGGTCCTTTTTTTAGCCTCCTTAAGCAAAACAATTATCAGCCACGAATTTTGTATGCAGAGAAACTAAGCTTCATAAATGAAGGAAAGATACAGTCTTTCCCAGACAAACAAATGCTGAGAGAATTCACCACTACCAAGCCAGCAGTACAAGAACTGCTAAAAAGAGCTCTAAATATTAAAACAAATCCTCAAAATATACCAAAATAGACTCTCCCTAAAGCATAAATCTCACAGGACCTATATGACAGTAACACAATGCAAAAACAAACAAAATAAATAAATATACAGGCAACAAATAGCACAATGAATAAAATAGTACCTCACATCTCAATACTAACATTGAATGTAAATAGCCTAAATGCTGCACTTAAAAAATACAGAATGACAGAATGGATAAGAATTCACCAACCTAGTTTCTGCTGTCTTCAGGAGATTCACGTAACACATAAGGACTCATATAAACTTAAGGTAAAGGGATAGAAAAATATATTCCATGCAAATGGACACCAAAAGTGAGCAAGAGTAGCTATTCTCACATCAGACAAAACAAACTTTAAGGCAACAGAAGTTAAAAAAGAGGGACATTATATAATGATAAAAGGACTAGTCCAACAGGAAAATATCACAATTCTGAATATATATGCACCTAACACTGGACCTTTCAATTTATAAAGCAGTTACTACTAGACCTAAGAAATGAAACAGATGGCAACACAGTAAAAGTGGGAGACTTTAATACTTCACTGACAGCACTCGACAGGTCATCAAGACAGAAAGTCAAAAAAGAAACAATGGACTTAAACTATACCCTATAACAAATGGACTTAACAGATATTTACAGAATAGTCTACCTAACAACTACAGAATATATATTCTATCCATCAGTACATGGAACATTCTCGAAGTTAGACCACATGATAGGCCACAAAACAAGTCTCAGTAAATTTAAGATAATCGAAATTATATCGAGTACTCTCTCAGACCACAATGGAATAAAATTGGAAATCAACTCCAAAAGGAGCCTTAAAGCCATGCAAATACATGGAAATTAAATAACCTGCTCCTGAATGATCGTTGTGTCAACAATGAAATCAAGATGGAAATTTAAAAATTCTTTGAATTGAAAGATAATAGTGACACAACCTATCAAAACCTCTGGGATACAGCAAAAGCAGTGCTAAGAGGATAGTTCATAGCATTGAATGCCTACATCAAAAAGTCTGAAAGAGCACAAATAGACAATCTAAGATCATACCTAATGGAACTAGAAAAACAAGAACAGTCCAAACCCAAACCCAGGAGAAGAAAAGAAATAATGAAGATCAGAGCAGAACTAAATAAAACTGAAACAAACAAAAACAATACAAAAGATAAATGAAACAAAAGCTGGTTCTTTGAAAAGATAAATAAAACTGATAGACCATTAGCAAGATTAACCAAGAAGAGAAAAGGTCCAAATAAGCTCAATTAGAAATGAAATGGGAGATATTACAACTGATACCACAGAAATACAAAAGATTATTGAAGGCTACTATGAACACCTTTATGCACATAAACTAGAGAACCTACAGGAGATGGATAAATTCCTGGAAATATACAACCCTCCTAGATTAAACCAGGAAGATATAGAATCTGTGAATATACAAATAACAAGCAATGAGATTGAAATAGTAATACGAAGATTGCCAATAACAAACAAAAAAAAAAAGTTCAGAACCAGACAGATTCACAGTTTAATTCTATCAGACATTCAAAGAATTGGTACCAATCCTATTGACACTATTCCAAAAGATAGAAAAAGAGAGAATCCTCCCCCAAATCATTCTATGAAGCCAGTTTCGCCATAATATCAAAACCAGGGAAGGACATAACGAAAAAGAAAGCTACAGAGTGGTATCCCTGATGAACATAGATGCAAAAATCCTCAAGAAAATACTAGTGAACCAAATTCAACAACATATCAAAAAGAAAATCCACCATGATCAAGTGGGTTTCATGCCATTCATGCAGGGATGGTTTAATATACACAAGTCATAAATGTGATACAGCACATACACAGATTTAAAACAAAAATCACATGATCATCTCAATAGATGCAGAAAAAAAGCATTCGACAAAATCCAGCATCTCTTTATGATTAAAACCCTCAGCAAAATCGGCATAAAAGGGACATACCATACAGTAATAAAAGCCATCTACGACACAAACAAAGGGAAACACATCCCATGCTCATGGATGGGTACAATCAATATTGTGAAAATGACCATACTGCCAAAAGCAATATACAAATTGAATGCAATTCCCATCAAAATACCACCATTATTTTTTTTCACAGAGCTAGAAAAAACAATCCTAAAATTCATATGGAACCAAAAGAGAGCCCACATAGCCACAGCAAGACAAAAAATAATAGGCGCATAGACCAATGGAACAGAATAGAGAACCCAAAAATAAAGCCAAATACAGCCAACTGATCTTTGACAAAGCAAACAAAAACTTAAAGTAGAGAAAGGACACCCTATTCAACAAATGGTGCTGGGATAATTGGCAAGCAACATGTAGAAGAATGAAACTGGATTCTCATCTCTCACCTTATATAAAAATCAACTAAAGATGGATCAAAGACTTAAATCTAACACCTGAAACCATAAAGATTCTAGAAGATAAATATCAGAAAAACCCTTCTAGACATTGGCTTAGGTAAAGACTTCATGACCAAGAACCCAAAAGCAAATGCAACAAAAACAAGAATAAATAGATGGGACTTAATTAAACTACAAAGCTTCTGCACAGCAAAAGAAATAATCAGCAGAGTTAACAGACAACCTACAGAGTGGGAGAAAATCTTCACAATCTATACATACAACAAAGGACTATTATCCAGAATCTACAAAGAAATCAACAAGAAAACAAAACAAAACAAAAACATCAAAAAGTGGGCTAAGGACATGAATAGACAATTCTCAAAAGAAGATATACAAATGGCCAGCAAGCATGTGGAAAAATGCTCAACATCACTAGTGATCAGGGAAATGCATATCAAAACCACAATGCAACACCATCTTATAACTGCAAGAATGGCCATAATCAAAAAATCAAAAAATAATAAATGTTTGAGTGCATGGGGTGAAAAGGGAACATTTTTACACTGCTGGTGGGAGTGTAAACTAATAAAACCACTGTGGAAAACAGTGTGGAGATTCCTTAAAGAACTACAAGTAGATCTCCCGTTTGATGTAGCAATCCCACTACTGAGTATCTACCCAGAAGAAAAGAAGTCATTATACGAAAAAGATACTTGCACATGCATGTTTATAGCAGCACAATTTGCAATTGCAAAAATATGGAACCAACCCAAATGCCCATCAGTCAATGAGTGGATAAAGAAAATGTGAGATATATATGAATACTACTCAGCCATTAAAAAAAAAAAACAAAAAAAAAACGAAATAATGGCTTTCACAGCAACCTGGATGGAATCGGAGATTATTATTCTAAGTGAAGTAACTCAGGAATGGAAAACCAAACATCGTATGTTCTCACTCATATGTGGGAGCTAAGCTATGAGGACACAAAGACATAAGAATGATACATTGGTCTTTGGGGACTCAGGGGAAACAGTGGGGAGTGTTGAGGGATGAAAGACTATACATTGGGTACAGTGTACACTGCTTGGGTGAAGGGTGTGCCAATCTCAGATATCACCACTAAAGAAGTTATTCATGTGAACGAACACCACCTGTTCCCCAAAAACCTATTGAGATAAAAAAAAATTAAAAAAATTTAAAAGTATTTTGATTTCATCATCTTAATATAAAATTGTTAAGTGTCTGGAGTTTAAAGATACTCTTTCAAAAACTTATAAAGAAATTATTACTGAAATATTTGTGCATATCAGCAAG